TGTTTCACCAAGCTTCTCGTTTTCAGTCAGGCTAGCTTTATCCCCCTTGTCTCAGACGGCTGTAAGAACAGTGTGTTTGTGGTTATTTACATTGTGTGAATAAATCCCTAGTTTACCTCAAAAGATAATTTTGGCATTGCTGGGTATTGGAAATCTAGACTTGGGCAAGCTGCTTTCTGTGGTCTTTTGTTTATTAATGCTTCCATTTTACAGCTCTGTTATTGTCTGAGCATCTAAAAGAAAATACAAAGATTTAACGTGGGTTTGGATGCTCGTAAGCTTTACATGTTTAGCAAGTCAGAAATGGGAAAGGTTTTATACATCTTTGTACTGTGGTTTTGTTGGATGTTTCTTTTTGAGGTAGTGCTTGCAATTCTGTTCTGTTGGCCAATGTGGACATAGGCACTTTATGTACACTGTGGCTTGGTTAGTACAACTGATTGTGCAGCTATGGGGGGAGCTTGACTGGATTTAAAGAAAAAAAACCCAAAGCAAAACAAACCACCACCAAAAAAAACCCAAAACCAAACCACCCACCAAAAAACCGCACAAACACAAAACAACAAAATCCCTTTTTCTCCTAGTTCAGTTAGTCAGGAAGTCCTAAACCAGCAATAGGAATGAGAGGAGACTGATGCCAGTGCTGGCACTACCACTGCAGTGCTCACCTAACTACAGCACTTAGGTTTAATGTGTTTGTTTTGCAGTAAGACTGGCTGCACTGGTAAGTCTAGTAGATAACAATAAATGCTGAGTTTGTGCAGATCTCTTTCTTACCATCTAGAATCTGACTAAAACTTTCCTCTACCAAATTCACTTCTCAAATTCACTGCGATGTGTTTGCAGAAATAGTATTTCCTATAATTTTAAAGATAACATTTTGAATATCTAGGTAGTACAAAGCCTCATTTCCCAAGTATCACTAACCCTTGGAATCTGCTGCATATGTCCAACAACAGCATAACGTGGTGTATTTCTAACTGTGTTTCCTTTTGTGTCTTCAGCAGCAATCTGTGCGTCTGTCCTTGCTCCTACCCTACCTGTTGGGTTGTGTGAGTACAGTCCTTGACAGCTTTGCTGTGAACTGACTTGGGAAGTCAGTCAGCAGATGCTGTTATCCTTCCCCTCTTCAAAGGAGGAGCTCTTTCTGACCGTGGCTTTCCTGCTTTCTCAAACTCTGGCAGGTCTGGAGCACCTCTGAAAACAGAATTCAAGCAGAGGAAGTGTCAAACCAGGGACTGGAATTATGTGATTTTGACAGTCCGTATTTAGTAATTCATGGAGCTTTAGGGTTGGTTTTTGTCACTGGTAATCCAGATTTTTCTGCAGCAGCTAGTTGGTGATTATCTTTGCAGGCTGATGATATTCTCACGTGGTGTAAATGATTGTAATAACATGTATCCTAAAGTTGTCTGTCAGTGGTTCCTCCAACCAGGTGAAAGTTGAGACAAATAATGACACATTCAGAATTATAGCTGTCTGGATCACTGCTCTCCTTACTAATTTGCTCATGACAATAGGCATATTAGGAATGCAGTGTTTTTCTAAAGTTTTTCTGAACTTGAAAAGAGCGAAAATATTGCTTGTGTTTAAAGACAGGGTGATTTTTCTCTTAACTTACTGTTAGCTTCACTTTTTAAGTAAAATTTCATTGGAAGTACAGCTCTTCAGCTTACAAAGCCACCATTTTCTATTAAGTACTTTTCCTGTTGAATAAGATAATGTCACACCTGGTGGTGGGGGTGGGAGGGAGCCTACAACAGCAATAAAACCCCCTGAACCTCCCTAGCCTGCAAGGTGATTAAAAAAAAAAGAAAAGAAAAAGAAAAAAAAGGAGATTGTTCTTCCATTAAGCTGTTTGATAAGATTTAGTTCATATTAAATTCAGTTTCTTGGTCAAGAGTATTGAATGAATTCAAGGTTTCAGATCATCAAAAATAGAAATACGAAGAAAATTTTGTTGGCAAGCTAAACTTCCAGAACAGAAACCAAAATTAGCATTTATGAGCTGAATGGGAAGCTAGGGAGATACCCATTGGATAAGAAAACTTTTCTTCCTCTATATTCAATACCCACATTTAGCCACAGAAACTTACTTTATTTAGAACTTTATTTATGCACATTCCCATATAACCCTTAACCTTCAGAGTTCTCCTGTGAGCCAAATAGTATTCATTTTGGTGATAGGAAAACTGAAAACATTGTACGCTGCCTTGCTCAGTGAGTGATACTCTTAACAACTACAGAGCGGTACCAGCTGCCTCTGGCTACTTGTCCTTTATGCCATCCTTTAGAATATACTCTGTTGTATGCTGTCATGAATTGGGATGAGGTACCAAAAGACCACCTAAAGCTATAGGTTCTGTCATTAACAATTATCCTGCTACTCCTTGCTCTGAGAAATCCTTTATCCCAGTTGTAGCAGTGACTATCGGAACCTTCAAAGAAAGATCAAAGTAACATTATGGAAAGTTACAGTTCTCATCTCAACAGGTAGTAGAAATTCCCTAGAAAAGCCCTTTAATTCTTGAGTTCTTTATTTTTAACAGTAGCTCTGTACTGGCTTAGTCTGGGTGCTTGGCTGTTGGCTGGGGTCAACCCACAAGTAGCTCTTCGGTTGAGGTCAGTGATATTCTCTAGGATTATAGTTGTTTTTCCAGAACAGAACAACAAAGTTAACAGTTTTTAGAGGACAGATTTCAAAATAATATGATACAATTTTATTGCTCTTTAGTTGGCAAATTTCAGTGGGTAGGGCCATGAATTAGAAGAAATAAAAGTTTCTTCACTGTGGAAATGACTCTTACAGGTTTGTTATTCTGAAGTTTATGTCACTGCTACTATAGTTTGATTTGTCAAATAGGGACAGAGTAGTCTTCATTCTTACAGTTGAGAGTTTTCAGGTACTATTTTCATATTATTACAGTTCAGAGTTTACATTGCTTCCACGTTACAACTTTTGTAACAAATTGGACTACTTTCAAATAATCCTGGACTGCAAAACTTCCTGAGGCTTTACTTCAGCATGAAGAAAGTATTGATGGGAAAAGAGCTTTTGGCTTCCAGTGTATCGCTAAATGGCTTTTTAAGTCTGTTTTGGAGACTTACCTAGCCTGGTTTGAAGTGTATTTGAATAAAGTGATTTCATATTGCTGAACTAGAAGCAGAGCTTCTTATGTGAAACAGCAGACCCTAACTTATGTAAAATTGTACAGCTACGTAGGAACTGATGTAAAATAGATCATGTGTAACCTTTGTGATGATTTTAAATGTTCAGGCTTATGAGGGTGGTAAGAATTGAAGTTGTCATTTAGTACAACAAGTAGTGATCCAGCATTTTCTACATCTCAAGTAAAGATGATCTTTGGATCAAGTTGTGCTTTTCGATAGTGGTGTTTTCTGTTTTGACAGTTGCTGGAGAGGAACTCTCCTGGGTTTGTATCACTCAGAATTTTATGGACAAATGTAGCTCACTAACAGAGGGGATGGAGAAGACTATTCCTGTTTTTGTCAGATGCTGTGAATTTAAATTCAGAAAGATTAAGAATTCTGAAATACAACTCACACACATATGAATGTAGTGGTTATATTACTTACAAGAAAAGGGTACTTTTTGAGTATGAAGGAGATTAATTTCACAAATTTGTATTTAGAAGATGACCGTATGTGTAATCTTTCAGATTAAAAGAGCTGCAAAGCCTACTGGAAGAAACTGAGATTTGGAACTCCCTTTTGATTAAATTATATATATTCCTCTGATCTGTCTAACTCTTAATAGGGTAGTAAGTGTATAATAGTGTAATGTAAAAGAGTAGGAGAACTGAATGGTGATGTATTTAGTAATGTTATTTGCAATTAAAAACCCCGAGGAAGGGTTGTGATTGTATGATCAACCTTGTATAAAAATAGTATGGTCACCCTGACCTTTGACATTGATTTTGCTTGCCTTAAAGGAAATACCATTCAGGTCATCCAGCATGCTGCAAATCATTCACTCTTACAGGTGGATTTTATATTATAATTCCTTACAAAATAAAGATGATGATGGAATTACTTGTTCAGTAAAGATATCCCTTTAATATCTTTAAAAGGAATTATGGTTGTCTGTTGTGTCACGCTGCTGGAAGATGCAGTGCACAATATGTGCTGTCAGGGGAATTTTACATCACTTTAAAAGATAAGCAGCATTTGCCTTTTTTATTGCCAGAAACCAATTCCATCCCTAACCCCCTCCCCAGCACACACTTCTTAATATGTTAAAATTAGTAGCTTCGGCTTGCTTTGTTTTGAGATCTGAAAATAGTTACAGCTAAATCTGGAGGTAATGTATGAAGAGATGTAAAATACTGCAGAAACTATGGAGGTGCTTGTCAGGGAGGGAAATCTGGGGCAATGGCTGTGTTAAAGGACAAGTTAAAAAAAAATCAAAATTAAATGGGAGCTCCACTATTTCTAATTGCTTCTTTTTGCATGACTGACTTTATTTTTTTTCCCTTATTTTTTGTACTCTCAGCTTTCAAGTTACACCTCTTCAGATGTTTTTGTTCAATAAGTTTAAGTTTTGACAGCAGGGGGGTGGGAGGCCAGGGGTGTTTTCTTTGTTTCTTGTTTTTCATCAGCAGCTTTTTAGTTCAGTTTCTGGAAGGTGCAGCTCTCCCAGCAACAGGAGCGTTTAGTAGCTGGAGTTGGGCTTGTCTTTTGCATTGACAAGTGTTTTGACTTTCACGCCTGAAGCTGCTTGCATATAAAGCTTCTCTTTGGAAGGGTTATGGAGCAGGAAAATGTGTAATAACATGCAAAGATGTGTTTCAAAGCTAGCAAGCTATTAACAGTGAACAGTATGTTCTACAGGTTGGTTACATTTATCCTGAAACTATACTAGCCCACATTAGTAGTATCTTAGTCGAAAGTGATTGGCAAAATTGTTGTAAAATTTTAGTCAGATGCCTTCAGATCCAATGGAAGAAAATTAATAGTTTTGCATTCTCATTTCTCCTCAGAAAACCTGAAAAAGGAGTCCAGTACCTAATTGAGCGAGGTTTTGTGCCAGACACTCCAGTTGGTGTTGCCCACTTTCTCCTGCAAAGGAAAGGTCTCAGCAGACAGATGATTGGTGAATTTCTGGGAAATCGACAAAAACAGTTCAACCGGGATGTGTTAGAGTGAGTATTGTGTGTGGGGAGGAGGTAAGCATATTTGAGTGTTCAAGTAAGACATTTCATCAAGCTAGAAGTAGCAATGGTCTCTGAATGTTTTTTGCTTATCTCTGGATCTTGTTCTGAAGGCGGGGGGGAGGGAGACACACACCAGACTCTTAAGGGTTAAGAAAGAAAACATACACATGAGCAAATATTTATTTCTTTGCTTTCCAGCTAAGTTACTGTTTCTGTTATTGATCCAGCAAGATACTTAAAAGGATTTATATTCCCTGTAGTCATGTACATTTACTCTAAATTTATGTTTTCATTTCATTGGCATTAGAGTATGTTATTCTGAAGTCTTTTTCCTTCCTCAGGCTCTCTAATAATTTACTGAATGAAACAAAATAATATTATATGCAACAGAAGGCTTCATCAGTAACAGAACATGAAAATAATTATTACAGCCAAATGGCTCAGATGTTAGATAAACAAGGATTTCAGCATGTACAGGCATATGCTGACAAGATCTATACAAACTGTTCTTTTCCAAAAGATTAGATAAACAAAAAGTGTTTTAAAAATCAAAGAAATTCAAAGCAGAAAATTAGACTTTCAGCAGCTTGGTCATAAATTTCTGAAACTTGTATACAGAGTAGACCAAAATCAAATGTTCCTTTATTTTAAGAGGGTGTTCATTTAAAACACGTATTCTTTTGGGGCTTTTTTTTTTTTTTCAATCTGATATACTGACCTGTAAACATGAATGCATCTTAGCCCAGTTCTATTCAAGGAATTGTATAAAAAAATTTAGCTAGATATTTACAAAGCTGCTGAGAATGAAAGCAAAAAGCCCCACATCTTGCCCATTAAGGATGACTAGGAAAAATTCTGACCACAGGTTTTAACCAGAGTATAATGAAAGCTGTACTGAAATTTGCATTGGTCTATAGATGTAGTCTTTCTTGAGGGCTGAATGTTGATACATAATATTGGTACCATAATATTGATATATCGTAAAAAATTTTAAGGTTATGGTATCATGATACAAAATGTCTGCCAACACCTTATATTTTCTTTGCATATTTCTTATAGACTGCTCTTGCTGGCTTCATACTGCAAAGATGTTGGTCACGTTCTCTGTAGTCATCCTGATCTTACTGTTATGCTGTCAGAACTTGTGTATCTCAAATTGCAAGCTTGAACACTGTATTAGTACAGCTAATGGCATGTGTACATATGCCATAGACCTTTTTTTAGAGGTTTTCTCTTTTTTTTCCTGTGCCTTGTTAAAGGCTGCCTTCTTATACCCAGCAGAAAGTGATGGAAGAGCCTCTGTACCAAAGCATGCAGCCAGCCATACAATACAGAGTAATAGAATATGGCTTGATTTTGATGCAATCCCTATTCAGCATGAGTCATTATTAGCTACTTGTAATGATCGTCTGGATTTTGCAATTATGAGTCAGACTAGGCTGGAGACTTTCCAAAGAGTGTGTATTTTCTAATTTTTTAAAAGAAAACAGTACAGGTCCAGGACAAGATGATTTATGATCTTAGATGATGCATTTTGTGATCTTGAACAAATTGTTTGCCCTCACAGTCTCAAACAGACTAGCAGAATATGGGTAAGTAGAAGTGTGTCTCTGCTAAGTCAGATGCTGTATCTATGACGAGGTGAATTCTTAAGAGTAAGGTCATAATCACCTACCTATAACCCCACAATGATTAATTGAAATTAATCTATTCTTAAATAAGCTGTTTCAGCTATGCTTTGGGGCAAGGAACACCCTGTAAGCAGTACAGTTCTCTTGATAGTGTTCTGAGCCTTGCCTGCAGATAGGAACAAGGTATTCCTTCTTAGAGACAAAAGAATAGCATTTCATCTTAAATATCACATTTACAGATTGGAGGTAGATTTTGTCAAACTGATAGTAACTCCAGGTTGTTACATAGAAAAGATATTTTAACAGATGATCCTTTTTCTGTTACACAGTTTAATTTCAAGTGTCTTGCTTTGATTTGTGTTCAGGTTTCCCAGATCCTGTACATTAGGGTGTTTTAACTGTTTGAAATCTTCTTTTCACTGGAGCTTAGAAAATATTCAAGAGAGTAGCCTAAATTTTTGACCAAGAGCTGCATTCTGGGCCTACTGTAGTTGCTACCTGGTGGTAGCTCACGTGTAAAGGCATTGTTTGGGTGGCGGGGGGCTGGCATAGCTGGCATTGATGTTGTTGCCCTGGCCAACTTTTGGGGCACATCAGACGTGCTTCCTGAAGCACTGCTGCTCTGCAGTGAGCCTCGCTTTCTCTCTCTGCCTGACCAAGGAGTGCTTGATGTAATAGAGATGTAGCTGAGGATCTGGCCTTCTACTGCGTCTTTGCATCAGAACTTTGCATCTACTGACTTTGCATCAGAAAACAAAAGTACAGCCACTTAAAGAAAGAATAAAATAAAACCGTCATAGAGAACACTGTTAAAAGTGAGAGGGAAAGCATGACATTCTGTTGCTCTACACGGGACTCCATCATTTCAGTCCGTTACACTACACAGTTATGTGCAAGAGTACAGGCAAATGGTACAGTAGGGGGAACGAAGGCAGTTGTAGCTGCGCTGACCCATCAGGTGGTATGTTCCATTCTTGCCTAAATTTTGTGGAGAGGTGGTAAGCAAGGGATAGTTCCCAGGAAGAAGTTTCAATTAGCTGCCTACCTAGAAGCAGTGAAGCTTAGCTGCTTCTTGCTTTTACCTGCCTGGGACATGTAACTGTAATAGTGATGATGTGGTCGTTCAGCACAGGCTTACTCACCCAGAGTACGTATGTACTCAAGTTCTCCTGCAGTGACTGAAGTCCATTTAATCATGTTCTCTTTATCATTATAATCATGATGATATTATCAAGGATTATCATTTTGTTAACTATGGTTAACAAAAACTAAACAAGTGAGTCTGATCTTACTTTCATGTTTTCATTTGCTGTAATGACCTAGCTGAAATAACTTGTTCCCTTTTTTGTCGTTACATAGCCACTAGAAAAGTTTTGTTTACTATTTTGAAATATTTGCAGAAAAGTACTGGTTCCAGTTAAGAACATTGGCCATGGTGGTATATCTGCTGTCTCCATAGTTCATACAAAAGATTGTTTAAGACCCTTTCCCATTATGTTGTTGGCCACCGTGTTTCTGGAGGTCCTTAATGGCTCTAATTACTTCATTTTGACTCCAGCTTGTCTGCACATGTGCTTTACACCTTTGAAGGAGAAAAGAACTTTTGAAAGTGTTACAGAGCTTGCAATAGGTGAGAAGACTGAACATTATTGCAGAACTGGTAATAGGTTTTTAGCTGTGGATTGGAAAGAGCATGAGAAATGCCAAGCCTGTTTGTTTGTTTCCTTGCGCTTCTGCATAAAGGGAAAAATATTCAAGGCAAAGTGAATAAATTGCTTTGGTATTAATCTATGTTGGCTACAATGTTACTAGAAGAAAAATATGAGCTACTCAAATTTATCATTGTATAGCTATACATTTAAGAAAAGGCTTTTAAACCTGGACTGTGGTTTCTTTCTGTGGTTTCTGCATTACAGTGCTGTTACTTGCAGTGATTCATGTCTGGTTATTTAAAAACTAAAAGCTAAGTTTAAAGAAAGGAAATCTATAAGCTTCTGATTTCAAAGTAGTGTTTAAACAAAGTATTAGAACGACATCGTTGATTGTATTAAATTGGTTCTGTTTTTATTTTTTGTCAGCACTGCATTTTCAGAGCAAGAAAGTAATTTCTCTGTGTGTTAACTGAAAGACATGGCAAATGATGGGGAGATGAGAATTTCAGTAATAGTAAGAGAGTATCCAAAGAAGATTAGGGTTTTTTCTCCATATGTAAGAACATTCCTAGACACAGAGCCATTTGGTACAGATTATTGTGCTTGCTGCAGGCTGTTTGAGATATGATATTTTGAGCAGTATAAACTATTTATTTTTATTATAGGCATTGTAATAATTCATTGCCCTGGCAGCACAAACCCAATAATTATTATTGGCAATGGTATGTCGCTTACATTGGTCAGACATTTGTCATTCCAGCAGCTCTTCTGTTAAATAAAAAAAAAAGGGGGGGGCCTACTTACAAGTACACATTCTCATTGATCCATTAATTGCAATCCTTCCTTCACAGCTTACAATTATTGCAATTGCTGCTGAATGTTTCAAAAAACTCCATGAATCTCTACAAGAGATGGAAAATGGAAAGGGTTTTTGGTCTCGAAATCTTTGGTACGGTGTTAGAAATTAAAAGACACAATGGCAATATCTTTTTATCCTAGCTGTGTTGTGGATGAGATGGACTTCTCAACAATGGAACTGGATGAAGCACTCAGGAAATTTCAGGCTCATATCCGTGTTCAAGGAGAAGCCCAGAAAGTAGAACGGCTTATTGAAGCTTTTAGGTATGATGCTGAAATAAATTACTCAGTCACCAGAAACCCGCTGTTGTCTAATGGCCAAACTGGAGAACTGGGGAAGGAAGTTGAGTATATCTAAGTTACGTCCCTGCTTATTTGCAGTGTCCTTGTGAGCTACATGCAGTTTCAAATACAGCATGTTGTTTGTGGTGGTTTTCCAAGTATGAAATAGGAAGTTTTATTTGCTGGTGCTGTTCATGTATGTCATTTGTATTAACGTAGCAAGATTTCTCAGTTGAAAGTTCTTTCTGGCATCAGTTGAAAAGATACTCAAGGATTTTTTAATGTCTCTAACAATGTATTTGGATATAATTGTTTATATGAGTGGAATTATAAAACCATTTACATTTTAGAGTATATATGCTCTCAACCTTTCATTAAGCATTTCAACAATAGTGGAATAAAGAGCATTAACTTATTAATACTAACACAAGTGTACTTTATCCAGGACAGGATGAGATATAAATCATCATGTGGCAGTAAGCTAAAATAAATTTTGTATTCTTACCTGGTGTCAACGGGAATTACTCGCTGAAAAAAATGAAATGCTGAAGTTATTGTAGCTCAGAATGTGTACTAAGAAGTGAAGTTACAGTGGTAGTAGAAAACAAAAGCCTTCCATATTCTAGGATTGGCTTATGAAAATATGTGGATGGAAAGCTAAATATATGTATGGAACACGAATAATAGTTTGCTCAGCCTCTGGAATGTAGCAGTTGTTTTATTTGGTGGAATTAGAATAGTAATTCATAGCTCTGACAGCTTCCCCTCTTTGCTTTTTTATAGCCAACGATACTGTATCTGCAATCCAGGTGTTGTGAGGCAATTTAGAAATCCCGATACCATCTTCATTCTAGCTTTTGCCATCATACTGTTAAACACAGATATGTACAGCCCAAATGTGAAACCAGAACGCAAAATGAAGCTAGAAGATTTTGTCAAGAATCTAAGGGGTAAGCAAACTGTAGCAATGAAGGTCATGAAAGCTTTTCCCTGTAACTGTCATTGGAGGGACACCATATATCTTCTGGGAAAAAGAACAAAATATAGGACACTTGATTCTGATTTCACCTGACTTAAAACTACTGTCATTTTTACAGACTTTAGTTATTTCTGCAATAGTGAAAACAGAATTAAGTATATAGTATTTTGTCATTTTTATTTTGTCTTTCTTAAGTCAGGTCCTTTTATTCCCATATATGTATACATATTAAGGAACTGAAATTACTATGCCATGATGAGAACTTTTGGAAATAAAGATTTAAATTCTCAGTGGGGAAAAAAAATTCCCAACTCCAAAATCTTCCTGAAAAGGTACACAGTAAGTAGCACAGAAATGTCATTTTGATTTCTTCATTGGTATATTTTCTGATCAAGAAGCTATTTGCCAGGCTGTGGCACACCTAAGCTTGCAATTAGATTGCCAAAATAATACAGATATTTTTTCAAATTTGTATCTCTGATCTTTCTAGCCTGGTTCTTCCTGGTGAAAAATAACACATTTTTTGGAAGTATCAGCTCAGCGAGTGCTCAGCTGTGCCTAACAGGAAGCAGTCACTGTAGAGCTGAGGAGGAAGATCGTGCATGAGGAGATGATACCTCCTGTTGTTCCTGGGCACTCAAGGAAGAATGGATCAGACAGCATTTACCTTTTATCGCAGAAGAGCACTCAGATGTTAGAGAAATAACATGAGGCTGAAGTCCTGATCCCTTTTTTTCCTTTACGATAGTTTGTGCCCATAGGGAAAAAGCAGCTTTTACTATAGTTCCATTACTATGTGTTTGTGCAAAGGCCAGGAAAATTGCCTGCTCAGTTATTGCAACCCCCTCCTCTTCCCCCTGCTTTTAAGCACAGAAAAAGCACAACTTAGTGCACCGTCTATCTTCTTATGGCAACAATGGATGTAGCAGAATAGGCCCACTACTGCAGGCACCAGCAAGTACTGATGTATTGTTTAACAGCCATATTCTCAGTGATATCTAAAAGTGGGCTGAATGGCAGAAAGACAGAATCAAGTTGCTTAATACATGAAAATATATTGGCACATCTCAGATGCATGGCACTTTTTATTCCTGTGTGCATTTGGTACTTTCATTTTAGTACTAGTAAAAACAAAATACTTGTGGTGTTCTGGAATTTCAGATCTTAAAAATGAAAGTCCTGTTTGGTGATTTTATTCCTTTAGATTTGTCTAAGACAGCAATGAACGATCTATGCTTAGCAGATGTTTTAGCTTAGCAAAATTAAGTTAGTGTTGAGATTTTATCATAAAGTCCACAAATATTAAAAAAGGCCTGATACTCTTTCTTAGCATAATACTACAGTTATATTTGTTGTATTAAATACAGTACATTCTCTCTGAGCTCCAGCCTGAATGCCAGCAATTTCCTATTATTGTAGGCATTTTTGTAACAGGCTACCTTACCTGTAACTTTAAATGACTGGATATCGCAAAGGGTGGTCTGTGGAAGACTTGCTGGTGTGGAACAGAACAGAGGCGTTTTTTCTTGCTTCTAGTTGCAAAGAAATGTATTTTATCACAGTATTTTTTTATGTGAGCAGTTGTTCCACTGGGTGACAAAATATTCTGTTTTGGCTTCTGAATGGGAGATAAGAGTTTATTGCTTTAAAACCTGTTTAAAAGATAGACATGCATCTCCCTGTCCTCAGGAAATCCAGCTTTAAGTCACTTATTGAAATTGGACTGCCTCCACTGCTATTAAAAATTCAGGATAAAGCATTCAAGACACTATGGCTTTTGTTAGAATACTGACATGCCAATGATAATCACACAGTGCTAAACAATAATACTGTAATTAGGCTATTTTGTTGATTTGTTTTTCCAGAGTTAATTAATTGGGTTTGAAGTCGTACAGGAAAAATTGGTTAGACTAATTTTACTGGATGTTCATAAGGTTCTCTTGTAGGAAATTATTTTATGAACAGTGTTGAGTAATACTGGGACAGAGGCAAAATGGAATGGTTGTTCTGCTTCCTCCCAGTGTTATACTCCTAGGAAGAGGTCATATGGAGATTTTAGTGTCTAAAGGGTTATTTAACTCATCTGAGCTTTGATACCAAGCAGAGGAAACTTAAAAGAAAAAAAAAGAAGAAATTGCATAGGAAATTAGCCTTTTTATGGCTTAGTTTTAGATTAGAGTTCTAAAACAAAGAAACAAACCTGTTTAATTTCCATCAGTGTCTTGGTGTATTGGGCGGCAGCAAGCTTTTGGACAAAAATCAATGATTCAGTAATGAGTAACATAACTTCTGCTGCTTTGGTAAGGTAGGCACAAGAACAGCATAGCAGACATTACCTGACAGAGTACTGGCCGCTATAAAACAAAACAGCATAAACAAGTGTATCAGCAGTCTTAGACGACGTTGGCATCACTGTTAGCAGAGGAAACAAAGATTGCCCTTGTTTTTACCCTCTACTTGCTGAGAAGTAACAGTGTTTGTTAGGTCATTCAGAGCCAGACTGATAATAGAAACTGTTGGCTTCTGCAGGTGTGGATGATGGTGAGGATATCCCACGAGAAATGCTGATTGGGATTTATGAGCGAATCCGCAAACGGGAGCTGAAGACGAATGAGGATCATGTATCGCAAGTCCAGAAGGTTGAAAAACTCATAGTAGGAAAGAAACCGGTAAGTTCACTTTGCACTGCCTGTCAATTACTAAGGAGATGTAGGGCAGTGTACAGTATAGAACAATACAAAAGTGTGTTGCTTAGAAGTATAAATTGTTTGATAAAGGGCAAAAAGCAGAAACTGTCAAAATAATAATTTGCTATAAGGTTGGTTTTAATTTTGGAGTATTCATAGTGCGGGTGAATTTTGTTGTTGCAGTCTGGTATTCATGAGTGATGATGTTATGAGTCTTAAACTCTTTTCTCTATGTGAAGCTTTACAATTCTGAAACTACACTGAAATATCTGCCTTTTAGGCAGTTCTCACGTTTGTTTCAAGAGAGCTGAAGTGTTTTGTTAAAGTGATGTTTCAACATTTATGCTATCAGTTATGGCTCCATAATTTGCAAGAGTAATAGAGAACTTCTGTTCACATCAGCGTCTTTCTCAGCTTTGCAGCTAGCTCTATGAACTGGTATTTGTAAGGGGAGATTGTGTCATTTTGTCTCAGAATTTGTCTGAAAATCAGGTCCCAGGGATTCTAGTGCTGGGTTTGAGCATCCAAAGATACCTCTTGCTCTATTGAGGGAAAAATCCTGAAATATTTTGCTATATAAATTAATCTTCAAAGCATCTCTTGGAAAAGGAAAGAGAAAAGGAAGGCCACAGCATTTTCCCCTTTGTTTTAGGAGCTGAGTGAACGCAGAGATATTAAGACCAATATTTTACATGCTAACAATGATATCTAATGTGGAGAGAGAGAATGGATACTCAGCCTTCCTGAATTCAAGTCCTAGAGTCACCTTCTGAAAATCTTCATGTTAGTAGTCACAAAGGCAGCCCAGAACAAAGCCAGAAAAAAGACTAGACTTGTATGGTTTTTAAGTCCTACATCATTCTTTTTATCAGCTCTGGGGAACTTTAGTGCAGCAGGGACTGATGGGTTGGGGGATTTTTTATTAAGAAAAAGAGCATATATCTCAAGATTATGCCTGTAACTTTTAAAAAGCTTTCAATTGTAATATCTTCTTAGACGAGTCTCAGTGCAGGGAGGTGGGGAAGAGAATGAGGGACCACAAAAAAAACAAACAAAACCTGATTTACATCTGTTTCGCAGTAAGGAAATATTGAGGAGATCTCTTGGAAGAAGCAGAGGAGAGAGAAAGCAAAATTTCCTTAATAAAAGCTTTTACATATTTTTGAGGAGAAGAAAATTAAATATTCTAAAGTCAATATTTGACAGTCACTTATGCTTTCATATGAAACTTATTTTCTGTAATTGTTTGGGGATTTAGGTTTATATATAGGCTTCTGTGGGAGATGGGCTTTTTAATGGTTCTTTTTTTATTCAGGCATGTGGCAATACAAATCCTAAAACTAATCCTGACCTTGTAAATTAAATGGGATTAAGAAAACAGTGCCCTCAATGGAGTCCTATGTTCAAGGATTCTTCAGTTGAGAGACTTTTTAACTGTGTGAAAGAAAATTTAGGAAACAGCCAACAGTCTTTATTGATAGAAATATTTGTTTTTACTTTATAGGCATTTAGTCATAGTAAGACCGTGACGTATTTACTTGCTATGATACAGTACTGTGTTTCTCTGAAGTTTAACGAACTTGTATATGTCTTTCTACTGTAGATTGGATCTCTGCATCATGGACTTGGTTGTGTAGGTATTTCTCTCATACTCCTTCAAAACTTATACTTATTCTAAATGGCAGCATTTTCTTAAACTGGCAATAATGCATTCTATTACATTTTAACTTTTTAAAAAATTTGGCTTCTTTCAAGCAAAATTTTCCTACTGTTGTAGTAATAACTCTCCAAAGTATAAAGATTTTCTGAAAAATCTATTTCCCAGAGACTGCTTAATTTATTGCCAAGAGTTTTCTAGACCTTTTCTTAGTACACTTTTTAGGCATTTCAAATGCTATTATCACTGTAGAAATAAGACAGCCAGTAAAGAATAAACAAATAAGTAAAATTACAGTTGCACCTCACCTTTCCACCTGGGCCCTGGTGTGTTTATTCTTTCTTTATTCCGTTTCAGTATTTAATGATACTCTAGCAAGATACTGACAGTTAATTTAACAGTTCTCTTCTGAAAGGTAGATGAACATAGAAAATACTGATTCCAGATTCAAGTTTTAGGCATCTTCAATAATAATCCTAAAACTATTCTTCTAATACAGTGTTCTACTTACTTTATTTCATAACAACATTATTGCTAGCAGTTTTGAACAAAGAAACCACCTCATAGCAGAAGAGTACATGTAGTAGTGCTTTAAAATCTGATTACCTGATACAAATTTGATCCTAATGATTTTTTTTTTCCCCCTCAATTATAACTGCACTGTGCATTAGCATCTTCACTCAGGACACTCCAGAAAAGGAACTTTTCATTTGTTTTTCAGTCTTGCTTTTTCTGTGTAAACTATTAAAATCATGCAAAGCCATCTTCATATTCCTAAGTGAAGTGCCTGTCATTGTTTCATGGATGCACATCTAGCAGTACCACTGGACTGTAAAAACAAACTGAAAGATGTGACCTTTATAAAATACAGTGGAAGGGAATCTTACTGGATCATCCATTGCTATGAGTGAAAGCATTGTCTATAGTTAAATTTCAATACCAGGGCTCACTGTAGTTGTTTTCATAGGCTCAGTGACTATCCTTGGGTTTTGTTGTCTTGATGTAGCAAATCTCAGACCACCATGTGCTGGGGAAGCTAAGTCTGGAGGTAGGAGAGAATGAAACCGTGCAACATTTATTCCTGCCACTTTCCAGTGAGAACCCATGTAAGCTGTTCACTTACCAGAATAGCCTGAAAATAGAAACCATTGATTTCTCCAACATTCTTCACCACACTGACTCCTTTAGAACATGTCAGATTTTTTCTTAAATACCTTCTTGTTGCAAGTTCAGGAAGGGTAATTAAGCTAACACCATAGAGAAATTAAATGCTATTAGCATTTTATCTGCTATTAGTATAGTTCTCAGTGGATTTGGGGGAAAGACTGGAATTTCACCAAATGACTTGATAACCAACCAGGAACAAGGGCAGAGAGTGAATCCTAGACTCTTTTTCCCCTCTTCCCCAGCCCACCCCCCCCGCTCATGTAGAGAAAGAAGAATAATTAACAACCTTTTTTCTTTGCCTAGTAAATCTTGTAATTCCCGTGCAGAATCAGGAATTATAAAGAAATATAATATATACATTAAATACATGCCTAGTTACCAAAGAATATTCTCTACTTCAAATTTTCAAAGTTTAAAGGATTTCTTTTAATATTGTTGACAAGATACCATCATTTGCATTTGAAAGAAATGAAGTCTCAGTAGGTTGAAAACAGCAGCTTCAGAGATAGCTTCAGCAGACATTTCAAATAAGAAAAAGGAAAATTATTCTTGCTGCTCTTGCCGGCATGAGAAAATAAGCCAGATTGTCACCATTTCCTTTGTATTGGGGAATGAACAAATTTAATTAACTCAGTGGCTGACAAAACATAATCTACAACATCAGTGTATTCATCTCAGAAAAGCTAAAGTTGCTTTGCATCCTTTCTTCTAATAAAGATATATAAAAATGCTCAGGAAGGCAACCATCCTTTGCTTTGAAGCTCCCACTTGCTTAATCTTAAGTTCTTTCAAGGTTTTATCGCTTCACAAAGTAAAACACTACCCCCAGTAAAACTTTCATTGGCATCCATATATATAGGAATGCCAGCTGTTAAAGAGTATTTTGTATAAGAATTTTGATGAAGTTTGAATGTCATGCAAGTTTGTGGCATGTAAATATTTTTCTGTTGCTGGTCCTTTGATGAAAAAGCCTAATGGGCTTAGAGGTAAAAATATTTGAAGTATTCAAAAAAAGACTCTGGGTATGAAAGATGCTCTTTCTTGGCTAAGTATCACTATATTAACCATGAACTTTTGTATTCTTATAGGTCCTCTCTCTACCGCACCGGAGGCTTGTTTGCTACTGTAGGCTGTTTGAAGTTCCAGATCCAAATAAACCTCAGAAGCTTGGATTGCACCAGCGAGAAATATTTTTATTTAATGATCTTCTTGTGGTATGTACTTTCAGGTGGATAGACTTCTAGTGAGGTATTCAGAAATGCCAATCTCCATGAAATCAGTGGCAATTTAAGTGCATGAGCATTCCTAAAAATAAATATCTATTACCTGTTACTCTGTACTCCAACAATCTTGGGGTGATTAAGATTTAAATTTTCTTAATTTTCTTCATTATATATAATTTTCTTTTAAACTGAAGATATTTATTGATTACTACACTCTATTGTAAGAAAGTACTTTGACGCAATAGCTTTTACTATAAAGAATGAAAATTACCTCCAGTTTACCCATTTCCCTAATGGATAAATGGAGATGTTCTTTATTCCGTGAATAACGAATTCAGGTTACTTGTGGAAAAACAAAATTGCATACTACTTCGTGTTCCCCAGATGTTCTATGAACGAGGCATGTTTATTCGTTGAAATAGGAATAGGATATGTTGAAATACATCTTACAGTTGACTTTACTTTTTAGTGTGCATTTAACTTGACCCAGTCTTTTGAAAAACAGATATACAAAACTAGTGACAGTTTGGAATTATTTGGTTGATTTACTCTTAAAAATAGGAAAATTTGTTGCACTCTGTTTGGAATGTATTTGGCTGTTACCTGAGAACTAAGAACTAAACTAAATATTTCATGTTTTTCTACAAAAAAGGCACAGCTTCAGATGCACAATTTTACAGTGTGTAATTTTTACATACCTTCAGACCTAAAAACCAAGAAGTAAATAAAAAAAAAATTAATCCTTTTGGTTGTGAGTATAACCTCCTAGTTGTAAATGTGAACTTGGATATAAAACGATGAAACATTGTCTTCAGGTTGCAAGTTTTCTGTTGTTTTTTATTACTTACTTAGATGTCAGTAGTTTTATCAAACTATTTTGGGAGTACTGTAGACCAAATTTGTCAGTTCTAGTAAAATGCCATTGTCAAAAGTTAAAATTAGAAAGAACTAGGAAAAATAAACCTCTTGGTTATAAAGGTTATATATGACACTTTAGGAGAACCCCCAAATTGACGGTAAGTAGTGTAGTGTGTTACTTCTGTTGTAGCAAAAAGTAAAGGTTTCCACAGACTCAGAGCTTTTATTGAGATAGGTGCTGTGCAAATCATAGGGAAGACAGGGCACCTTGGATGCGGTAGTGTAAGACAGTATTTGGAGGTGCACAGAAGTGAAGCAGGCTTGGAAGGTCACACAGCACATAAGAATAAGGACTAAGAATGAAACTTGTGTGGAGAGGTCCATAGGCATGTCCTGCCTGTAGTCAGACTGTAAGAAAAAAGTGTGAAGGAAAGTGTGGTAGCAGCTAAGTTTTTTAAAAAGGAAAATTCAAACATACTTAGATTTTTGCTAGCATGTACAGCGTACAATATGATGCAGGTTTTTTTTTTTTCTTTCTGGAATTTCAAGAAGTAGAGTTCTGGAGAATAGAGAACACAGATGCTTTGTATCTGGATAAAATATTAAACCTTCTGGTTAAGAGATACCAATGCTTCAAAGCTAGCTTTGTGTCTTCAGTAGTAGTAGATTAAATACATCAGTAGCATTAAAAGAAAAAAAAGGAAGAAATTACAAGCTCATCTTTTCTGGCAGATCATAGCTTTCTTTGGCATAAAATGTTTTCTCGTATGCTAATTCTTAAGAACAACAATTTTCCACAAAAACATATGGTAAAAGGGATATTTAACTTTGTTTATTTGGTAACTTTAAGGTGACCAAGATTTTTCAAAAGAAGAAGAACTCAGTCACATACAGTTTTCGACAGTCCTTTTCCCTCTATGGAATGCAAGTTCTTCTTTTTGAGAACCAGTGTAAGTCTTTCCTCTCTTTTTAGATGACCATTTTATTTATAAATAAAATAAAATAAAAACTTGTGTGAGTGAAAGGGATGGACAGGACTTGATTCTGAATTTAAGAATAAAATTGCTCTGAATTTAACTTAGCCCTAAAGTTTGAAACAAGATGGTGTCAGCATAAGAAGCAGCAAGACTGCTGTTAGATTTTTTTTTTGGTTGTAGTCAGAAGCCAAATCTAGCCGAATGCATTGTTTATGAATGCTTGTAAATAATAGAATGTTTGTAAAGAAACAAGTATGTTATATCTGTTGCTGAGTCAATGGTATGGTTAGCTGGAACTGAATGTATGATAATAAATAATGACTGTTATAATGATATGTTTAATTCAAACCACTATTTAATTTATTTTCCTGATTTATATCTTAACTTTGTGCCTACGTAACGTATACTCATTCAAATATAAATACAGTGCAGAGAGTCTGGATTAAAGTTTGTATTTTCTGACACCTTTTGTTTATATCAATTGTAATCTGCATCAATCCAATCTTCTTTTTATCTTTAATGCTTGTCAAGCTTAGTCTTAGCAAACAACAACCCAACAAAAAGCAAATAGTTTACTAATACTCCTGTAGATTTTAAGCCCAGAGACAGCATCAGTAATAACGTAGCAGAGCATAGTTGTTTGTGTGGTACGTAGGGAGACAGTCTATTTGACCTGACTTAATGGTTTGTAAACCAAACCTTGACCTTCATGATAAATTGGATTACAGTTCAGTGTGACATTCAGTATTTTCTGTGCTTTTCTCTTGTGGAAACCTCTTAGTTTTCGCTTGTCCTTGAGAATGTCCAATGCATATCTCACTCAAAAGAAGTCACTGTTATTGAGTCAAAGTATCTGGAGATTTCAAAAGGGGAGATTTTGTAGAGCTTATAGCAGCTATGTAGCCTGCAGATTATTTATATGCATACACATTCATTCTCTTTCTCGTGCACACATTATATGATATAAAATTCATTTTTAGACAGGAAAGCCAAATATTTCTATCCTGGATTCTACTAAAAAGAGAAGAATATATAATTCCTCTGATGTCAAGTTAATTAAATTTAAAAAAAAAAATCACATAAGCATGCTAAGTGGGAACACTGTGTTCAAGTAAACTTAAAGATATCTATAGTGGAACTAGGAGTTAAAGGTTGGATTCCTCCCAGTGAACTGGAAGCATTTTAACTGACGCACTAAGTAGACATAGTTGGGCTCCTAAGGTGAATTCACTACAGTGAATCAGTGAGCTGATTTACTTCTAATATTGGTGCCTGTCAGGTGGAATGCAGTATTTTCCAATTGGGAAAGAGAAGTATTCTTCCCCTCTGGTTTGTAAAATTCATATTCTTGGTTTCCCCCGTCCCCAGGAAGCTCTGGGGTATTTTGGCCAGAGCCATCATGCCATTCAGTAAATCTGTGTGTAGCAGCTGTCAGAATCAGCTGGTTTCAAGTGAATAAAATTCAGTATCACTAAAGCAGAAGCAACAAAAATACTGATATGGCTACTGGTAAGGTTGAACAAAATGGTTGGCGTTGATGATAGAAGAACTGACTTCTAGTGATAGAAGTCCAATTACGTTGAGGGATGGATGACCTCCAAAAGGGAAAATAGTGTCATGTATCTCTAGTAAATAAATAGACCATAAGGGAAGTATATTTTACATTTTCAGTCAAAATCACTGAAAATATAAAGGACAAGCAGATCACTTCAGAGAGAGTGTATCTGAAACCAGTAAGTACTTACATCAGTGTTTCCTGATGCTTAATCAGTACGGTGTAGAGAAGTATCTCTGGTAATACGATATTTTTGTTTGTTTAGTATGTGGAGATTCGTTGTTTGTTCATATGTGAAGGTAGCCCATGTGACTTTGGGGTTACCAAGTTTCCTTGTTTGGTTTCATAAACTTTTTTTTTTCCGCCAAGTGGTGCACTTTCTAGAGCTGTTTGCTGCATATCCAGTTTCAGTGTTCAAAACAGTACATGCTGTTACACCATGCTGTCCACCTGTTAGCTTGCCTAGCACGAGAGTCCTCTGCACTTTGGCCATTTGGCTGTATTCTGAATGACAGCAGCTGCAGACAACTTGAGGTGTCTGTCTTATTTGATTGAAGGTAGATGCAATTGTCATGTGGTCAGGAGAAGCAGATCAGCTATACATTGCTTCTGTGCAAGATGTTGACATCAGACCCTGGCAGAAGCCCCTTGCAAATTCTTGCTTCCTCCGTCCCCTCTGTACCTTTTGAAGCTTGCGGTAGTTGGCACCTTTTTTCACCTAAGAAGGGTAAATAGACTTGCTTCACTTTTAGTTGCAAATCCGATTTGGAAGTTAAGGTATCCTTTTAAAAAAGCATAGTATTTGTACTTGTTTCTCAATATTTGAAGTCAGTATATTGTTGAAACCTAATGACTTGGAGGAAAAGACTACCTTACATCATCTGCTGGTTCTTGAGGGAATGAATTTTTAGTACATGGGAGCACTTGATTCAGGTTGAATACTTAAGTAAATATTTGAGAGCTTTAGCAAACCAATAAGGTCAGGCAGTTGAGTAAAAGAAAACAGTGTGAATTAGAATGCACATTTTTAGTTTTTCTGACATCCGGTTTCTACAAGTCTGTTCTTCAAGCAAAGGCTGATTCTGCTTTCTGCAGCAGAACGTGTCTTCTTTATAAGCTATCTTTCAGTAAATGAACCTTTTATCTCAACCAAGAGATATTTTTGACCAGCTGTTAAAATGTGCGTTCTCAGATGTGCAGCTAGAAAAGAGGTAAAGACAGTTTGCTGAAAAATCTGCCTTTTATTGTGAAGATGTCCATAATATGGTCCAAAAGTGGGGGGG